TAAACACATATATATAACCTAGCTAATCGTCTAAGAGTGTTCAGCGTATGTAAAAATGTCATTTTGACAACGTTAAACGTTAACTTTCTTTAACGTTAACGTTAAAGAAAGTTAACGTTTAACGAAAATTAACGTTGACTAACGTTAAAGCTGACAGTCCTAGTAACCGGTCAAGATTTTCTCGACCGGTCTGGTAACCGGTCGACCTTCTGACCGGGTCGAGTCGACCAGCTGGCCAGTCATATATTTTCGTTTGGATAGGCGAAACATTTTTTGACATCACCTGTTATGATCATCACCTTTTTCAAATTGATAGTTTTGATAATCAAAATGATTCACCAAAAGACAATAAGTCCAGGTGAAACCAGGCCACAGTATTGTATTATTTCCAAGTTTATCCTGATACCAGAAGCGACATCCTCCTTCTTGCCATACTGTATGTTTCAATTTCTTTAGTATATCTTTATTATATTGGTTGCATACATTAGCTTTAACGACCAGTACTTCATGCTGATTTTTTTCCATATATTTAAGACAATTAATTATATAATCAAATTGACTTTCGATCATTATCAATACCGAATTACGTCCTAAAACTGAATTTGGTCCTAATAAAATGAATAAATTAGGAAAATTTGGTATAGTTACACCACGATAGGCTTGTGTACTTAGAGACCATCGATCCTGTTATTTAATTCTTTTTTGCTCATAAAATTCAATTAAACAATTGTGTACATTATAACTATTACTCCGTACAATTGTATCAATTTCATACTCTTTGTCATTACACGTGACAACACAATGTTCATTTATTTTTTTAATATTGTCTGTAATTAAATGAACGTTTGATTTTTGGATGGTTGGATACCAATCGTTGGTAACAAGCATACATTTACAATCTACACAAAGGAACTTCTTTTTTAAAAACTAATACAAATAAACTAGTGTCGAGTTATACGTTATAAATGAGCTAAATGATCTGATAACATGTATCTCTATCGGTTTATTTTATAGACAACCACAAAACAAAGGTATATCTGATATTCATTTGAACTTTGATGCATGACAATGAAAGAGATTTATCAGAAAATTTTGGATACATTGGAAAGAGAGTAGTAATCGTGATTACACACCGGAAAAAAAATGTGTAGGTTAACAAAATGCACCAAAAGAGAGTTTTATATAAGCAGTTTTATTTAAAAAAAATATATCCTTAGACGTTATGCCACCCAAAGCGACAAAACCCATTACAGAGGTGAGCAAACGCTTCCGTTGTTACATACCAGAGACCAACCAAAGTTTCAAAGAGTAAAACATTTCTCATTTTGATTATCAAAACTAAAAACATTTCAGAACTATCTTCAAAAACATGAAGTCTAGGACAGTAAAAAGTTGTAATAAGATTTAGAAACGGAGTAAAATAGTCTTTTACTAGATATCATTCTTCTAAACATGCGAAAAGATATCAGAATTTTAAACCACGCGCAATGAATTAGAGGTGGAAAAGGCATGAAACACTCTTATCCATTTTTAGAATATGGACGAAGTAAGGTCGTGCTAATTCGAATTCGAGTGAAATTTATTTTTCGTTTTTTCTTACATATTTGGATAGACGACTTCAAAGCAGTCAAGAATATGTGTGCCTCTAGGTGTTCCTTTTGCGGTGTTCCTTTTATATATTGTGTGTTATTTGTAAACAGCCAGTCAGTAATTATATTATCAGTCCCTTTTGTTTCACTCTTCATAACATTTCTCCATCCGCCTGGATCAATATTCCTTTTGCTCTTTCTCTGAGAAAGGCCGTCGGGAAACACAATCAAAGGTACAGATCTAACTGTACGATTTAAGTCAGGATTGAATGATGTTATTAACAAAGACTCTTTGACTAACAATCGACATTCAACTTTGTCCCTGTCCATTATACGCCAATTCTCCCAATCAATAGTGTGAGAGGTATCTTCAACATGTTTTTGTAGAGCAGACTTCACATCTTTAATGTCTGAATAATTATCAATCTCTTTGAGAATCTTTCGATCAGAGGCATTCATTAGTTTAACCTGTTCCGTTATTTTCTGAGTAGCTTTTGTTTCAGAGTGTGAAACAAAAGGAACTGATAATATAATTACTGATTGACTGTCTATAATTAACACACAATATATACAGACAAAATTCTTCTTCCTTTTCACAATATTTCATGCGTAAAGTACAGTAATGTTCTGTAGTATTCTTTGAAAATGACTCTATGAAGAGTCGAAACGTCATTTTTTTTTAATAAAATAGATTTCAGTTTAGTCTATGGGTGCTGTTAATTTAAAAAAGAATATTCTAATAGAACTATTCAAGTTGTACTAATTGTGATATTCTGAATGAGACTGTTCTGAACAGTCACGAGCCATGTTTAAGGTATTTCACCAGTTTATGTGCTCTCTAGATAAATGGGAGGTTTAGAAACGAAAATAGAATACCTTTAGGGTTTTGGGACATTGACAAAAAACACTTTATTTTCTTAAAACACTCCACTTTCTTGGTTCCAAAAAGTATTTTAAAAAACCAAACCGGTTTAGAAACGATTTAAAATGTGCTACTAAAGCCTTTTGCGTTTAGAAACAGGAATAAAAAACGGTTTGGGTTTTTTAAACTGACTATTTTTTTTAGAAAGCTCCCTTAGCTCAATTTTTCTCCCATCATTATACCCATTTTGTCGTCAACTCGAGTAAAAAAAATGCGCCGTTTAAAAATGAATGTTTGATCTATTATATAATCTTCCATTTCTTCTTGAATTGAGAACATTGCTTTTGGTGCATGCTAGACGTTATTCTCCGTTTAGGGAAGGGATTTAAACAATGCTACAAAATAAGTGAAAGGAATACTGTTCTAAATAGGTTCAATTAGTATTATGCTCTAAATCTAAATACGATTAGTTTGGTTTCATTCTTTTTGTTCAAAGTATTTCCTTTGAATATTGGTATTATACAGTCAGTTTTCAAGCAAGCATTTTGATAGGTAATAATGGAGACCTCTTATTATAGGAGTTAAGTATTCTTGCATTTAACTTCATCACGTAGTGGTATACACTCCCTTTGTATATGTCATGAATTACTTTTTCAAAAAAAATCAGAAAATTCATACTCACGAGGGAATCTTCGCAAGTGTTCAGTAGCTTTTTCTATAAAGCACACACGATTCTGGAAAATCCTTGATGCTGATCACAAATCTGATATCCGTTTCGGCCGCTAAGTCTTTCTGAGGTGGGTGTCTGGAATCTGGATGTTCAAAGATCCACTATGAACTTCCAGCTAAACATACTCTGACACTGCCAGATTGTAGAGCGCGTTGAATTACCTAACGTGGGAATGTTATGTGGGAAAATGTTCAAAACCACCGAACAAGTTTTGGCAGAGGTAGAAAAATTTTACTTTCTACCCTACAAAAAGAATTTTTGACAATTTTTATAAGTTTCTGATAGGATTATTATATACGATGTTGCACGGAAGTGACAAGAAATTTACTGGTTCGGATAAGATTCTGACAAGAAAACTGTCCTGATTTTACAGATCGAGTCCATACTCTTGTGTTTCCTTATTCAATTTGCTGTTCTCTTCAGCCATTCTTACCGTGCTTTAAAACCATTTCAGTCTCTTATACTTATTGAGTAGATGCATTTTGCTAGAGATCAGTCTGAAACGGCGAAATTTATGCAAACGATCGAGATCTCGTGCCCTGTATTCTCCTGTCATACAATGTTTTTTTTTGAAGTTCATGGTTTTCCAATAGTCACGATAAAGTTGGAGAAGCACATCCGGTCTACAGGCAATGGACCATGAGGGCGAGTCCTTAGACTACCCACTTGCGACTGAGATCTTATTACAGAAAAACAATATCAAGAAAATTTTATTCAGGTGTGAAAGCAGCAAATTGAATAAGGAAACACGAAGAGTATGGGCTCGATCTGTAAAGTCAGGACAGTTTTCTTGTCAGAATCAGATAAGAATTTTATAGGAAATTGATAAGAAACTGGTAAGATTCATATAAGATATTCATAAGAAAGTGATAAGACGGCTTGTTACTGTCTTATGAATATCTTATAAGTTTTTTATAAGAATCTTATCAGAACCAGTAAATTTCTTGTCACTTCCGTGCAACATCGTATATAAGAATCTTATCAGAAACTTATAAAAAGCTGATAAGTATTTTGTATGTTGCTTGTGAGAACCTTATATAAGAATCGATGTCTAGAATAATCCAGTAGGGAACCAAAGTATTTCAAGTTTTTGAACCCTAAAATTTTTCTATAAGGTTCTCTCAAAGTCAAAACCGAACCCTACTCCTTGGCCCCTACTCCTTGCCCTACTGCTTGGGCTTTTGAAAAGATTTTCTATAAACCTCTGAAGTAAGAGAATATTTTATACCACTCTTAACTACAGAATCATATTGAGCAGACAAATTGTGATTTAATAACGACTAAATCAAGTTCATGCCAGATTAGTTATGCGCGCTTATATATATATATAGTAGATAGTTGCTAAGTTTGTAATAATCTTCATCACCAGACCTATAAGCTTGCAAACGTTCACGCGCGTTACACCAGCTATATCCATAACACTTGAGATAATTATATGCTACTCTGACTATTCGGAGCATGAACTTCGATTCGTGCCTCAATGTTCTCAACTGGCCGCTTGCCTCGGGACATCTGAGAAGTACTACGCTACGTCTGTGTATCCAATAGGCTGCACGCCGTGGGACAAAAGACATTCGTACATACAGAACTTGGTGTCCCAGCAGGCCACTTGCCGCGGGCATCATGCTAAACTGGGGGCGTTCCTCCCCTGAATACACTGTTTGCTTCTTCTGTTTGTTTTTGTAGGCTTCTTGTGAAGCTTTTTTTGAAAAACAAATGCTGTCACGAGACTTAGTGTGGCCGATAACCTATATTGCCATTCATTTTCGGGATTATCACACCTAAGAGAATATCGATTTTGGGGCTCCCAGCAAATCCGATGCCACACCTCAACCACGAAAGATTAAGAGGTTATATCCCATTTTGAAGAGTACACTTTCTTCTATGTACTGATGCAAAAAAATCAGTAGTTTGATATTTTAAAATTTTCATTTATGTATGATTTTTCTAGAAATCCCTTGGAAAAACCGTTTTTGAAAAAAAGGTTTCCTCTTGTAACAAGATGTTCCATAATGTTCTCTTTCCATATCAGAAAAAAGCAGCTCTCTAGCTTGCACCATTCAAAAAATACCCATGGATTATTCTTTTTTTAGACGGACAATAGTACACTGTAATCTTGAATTAATTTCTAGTTTATGGAAAATCAACTGGAAAATCGCTGAAGAATTTCTAGTTTATAGAAACTCCTCACCGATTCTCCTACTTTATAGAAATCGTTGAATTTCCACTTACTAGAAAATCGTCTTGAATTTCCATAAATTCGAATTTCTATAAATAATTCCCACGATTGATGTCGCTTGAACAGACCACTCACAAACAAGAGATGTACACCGCAGAGGCAATCCCAAAGCCACTGAGACAGTCATGGAAGGAATCTCTAGCGCGAAAGAGCTGACTGGAGTCAGCTGAACAAACTTTTAAGAGAGTAGGTACTTACAATTCAAATAGAGGTGGTATGAGCTCTACTCTACTTTGTACAATGCATTTTCGTAAACGCATTTTGTGGAAGACTGTCATTCCTTTATCTTACACTTTCGGAGAGCACGTACCACTGATCAACGAAGCACATGAAATACTCTCTTATGCCACTAATCGTTTCGTCTTTTATCTCTATTTAGTATCTTTCAATGAATTAATTGATTTAATTACATAAAAAACATTTTTACCGGTTCTCTTTTTCTATTGTTATTTTTACCATTAAAAATTCATTATTTTTATTTTCTTTCGCAGAGTAGGCGTGGTGTTTTCGTTCATTTTTTTTTACTGTAGAGACAATAAATGTGTTATTAAAATACAAATAATGAAAAGCAAGGACTGTGGCGGTTTCTTTCTGTCGATATCACGACAATTGCAAAGATTCTTCGGAGTTATTTAAAAAGTCTCTAGAAATTCCTTCTCGAATTTCCAGTTTTCAGGTGAATTATTTATGGAAATTCTTCTTCGATATTCACAATAAATAATTCACATGAAAACTGGAAATTTGAGGAAGAATTTCTATAAACTGGAAATTTCGATTTTCTATAAACTAGAAAATGCTCGAGGAATTTATATATGGATTCTTTGAAATTCACGGAGCATTTTCTATAAATAATTTGCTCCTTTACAGTGTAGCCATTGTTCAGTATCCATCTGAATATTATTCGATGTTAGTGTAGTTAACTCGAAAAGTTCTATCTGCTGACTGTATCAAATTTCAAATCAGGACTATTATTGAGTGTTAGCGTATTTTACATATACTGTAGAAAAATGTTACTTACTACCAGTATGTTTCCTATTACAAAAGAGCAAGATTCGTGTATACACATAAAGAACAGGAAATAGAAGTTTTCTCTCATTACATATTACGTTATTTTGGGAAACGAACGCATCTTTTTCTTTTTCTCTAGATAGAAATTAGATAACTTGTAAGAGCTGTGCGGACAAGTATGACAACTCATCGTAATACTTGTCCTCTAAAGTCAAAAAATATCGCTCAGTTAGGAAATAAATTCAACAAACTTTCAGCAACCGTAGACATCAAACAACATTCTTTTCTCGGATTTAGATTTCTGAACACAAGCAGAAAACCTGAGATGCTATCAAAAGAGACGTTCTTAGCAGATGTACGATGAAAATGATATTTTTTTGTTCTGTATTGCCGAACATAGAACGAAAAATATTCATTGTTTAATTAAAGTTTAGTGATAAACGATAAATAAATAAAGTATAACAGAACATACTTTCAGTACATCATGCACAACTTACACCAGGCAAAGATTAGACGACGCCGACTGTCATCTTTCGAACAATAGGAATGGTCAAAATATGTAACGAATGAAAAATATATATAAATTATTATCCGAATGAATAGCACAATTATTGTAGTAAACAAGAATTCTCACAAGTAAGGAATATATCCACGGTTTCACTCTGTATTTAGCTTGTTAATTTTGTCCTTTGATAAAAACAAAGTATAAACTCGATTTTTAAAGTGTACACTGTCCATTAAAAATGAACCTGGCAACAATTACGAACAAATTGTTTTTTGTCTGCAGTACTTGTTGAACGTGTCTTATTTAATTAATTAATTTAATTAAATTACAAAAGTGCAAGAAACTCCAACTCGAATTCAACAAGAATATATAATGTGCATCTATGATTTAAATATAGTAATAATTCAGTCGTGAAAAAATCATCAGAGTTAAAGCATCGAAAGAACTCAAAATATAATTTTGATTGTCTATTTCTTCTTAAATAGCAGCGCACTACAGACATCGAGATTGTGTACATAGTGTCTTTCAATTGATAACTCCTCCTGCTAGATTAATCTCTCATTTCTCGTTAACTTTATAATGATTAAATATTTCATGAGACATCGCTTTCAGATGTTTGCAACTGGCCGACTTATCTCAAAACATTTTCATTATATTCAGATATTAAAGCGACCATCTGTTTCTTCTTTTCTTTCCTTTCACTCAGATCCATTTTACTCTATACAACAACAGATACGTTTAAATTCAACGCTTGATTCAGTTATCTCTGATCATTATGCATCAACGACGCCGATTAAAACTCTTTTGTTTGACACGTTTCTCAAATATCCATCTGAATGGACAGCAACAACACTTATGGATATTCATAATTTAAGTGGTTTACCATGGTGGGCAACAATTGCATTGACGACAGTTATATTTCGAATTAGTGTTGGATGTTCAATGTATTATATACAACAACGAATGTCAGATAAATTAGAAGAAATCCATCACAAAATCAGAAATGAGCTGCAACCACAGTTAAATTCGCTTCGTTTACATGCTACTCATAGAAAAGTGGCTACGGCACAACAAACAAAAAACGAAATATTAAGAGCGGTACAGTTTTTTTCGAATTTTTAGTAAATTTCAATTAGGTTTAAATTTTATCCATCATCAAATAATTACGGGAGAAAAAGGAAATACCATGAAATCTAAACGCTCTACTGAACATATACTTAAGCTGCAAGCGATTATACCGTTATACGTTGCAATATTGTGTCATAGAGAATAGATAGACTCGTAAAGCAAGGTCAGGAATAGTGAGCAAATACTTGTTTCTTCTTCCATTTAATAACTTACGTTATAGGAACCTATTTTTTCCATTTTTAGACTAAAAAATTAAGTAAAGCAAAATATGCTCAAGAGAATATCCATCCAGGCAAATTAATAATTTTAACATTATTTCAGTCAGTACCATGGGTCTATTTAACAATGGCTATCAGAATGATTTGTGCAACGGAAGAAACACAAAGTATGTACATAAATATTGAATGAAAATGTTGATTTCATTTTTTTTGCTCATTGCTAGTGACCGTATCCAAAGAGGGAATACTTTGGTTTGAAAATATTGCTCAGGCAGATCCGTATGCTGTATTGCCAATTATATTTTTGGTCTTCGGTATGGCCAATATTACGGTACATTGAAAATAATCTGTGTATTTCGACAGAAAACAGTATACTTCATGTTATATCTCTTTGTTTACAGTTTCAATCGATTAAATTGGACACAACCAATACTTCAAAAATGTCGATTATGTTTAAAATTCAACGAACTGCTTTTCGTCTAATAGTGATTGGTTTCACAATTATTGCTTTAAAACTGCCTGCTGTAAGTGTATACAATGTACTGATCATTGATGATATGGAATCACTAATATATAGAATTATACTATTCGAATGGTTAAACTTACTCTTTTTTTCTTTCAAAGGGGATAGTTCTGTTCTGGTCGTTAAACAGTATATTGCAGTTAATCCAAAATATTTTATTCGAACTTCCAAGTGCCAGAAAACGACTCGGTTTAAAACCATCAAAATTCGGCAATAAACCCATAACAAAACGTTATATTTTATGGAAAAACAATTGGAAAATTTTTACCAAAACATTAAAATGGAATTTAAAGTTGTGATGATGATGACATCTTGAGTTTTTATAAAATGTATTTTTTTATATAACCTTAATAAATCTACAAAATACATTTTTTGAGATGTCCGTAACCTGATGAGATATGAGTGTTAAAACGATGACAATTTTACCGCCACGTCAAAAAACGGTCCTCAATCTCAGATTGAGAAGTGTTGGAATATCATGAAAATTTTGAAGTCGAGGGCAAACACGAAAAAATCTGGGAAAATCGTCTAACGTCCTGGTCATCAGAAAAAGTCGTATATTTGTCGCTGTATTATCTTGGGCCATCAAATTACTGACTCATTTGATTCTGTTATTGGAGAAAATTCGGTATACATGTATTAATTATACTTGTTTAGGAACTGTCTATTTTATTAGAAGCAAATATAAAAGAATAACAAAATTTGACATGTACTTTGCAATTATAGTAAGTTGTGATTTATCCAATGTTTTTAGAGTAGCACCATTTTCTTGTGTTTGGTATTTAACAATTAGGTACGGGGCAATATCTAGTTTCTTTTAGTGGTCCACATCGTCTTCCGTTATTCTTTGGACGTCGAATAATCGATCTCGTACGTATTTGAACTGCATCTGGGCCACATGTTTGTGTACAAGGACTCCATGAACTCCACTGACTGACAATACAATCTATTAATGGCGAAACATAAACACAGCTTTAATACATGTAAATGTATTTCTTCTGCATCAACTTACGACATTTTCCCATTTGACATAGTTCCCTTTCTTCTAACGGTGGACAGTTTGGATTTACCATCTGATTGCTATTTTGAATATATGCACGTGTTCTTGTACGCCAGCCTCTTCCGCAACTAACAGAACATTCACTCCATGTCGTCCATTGTGTTGTTGGCGGACATGAATACATCGAATAATCATCATATTTTTCAACTAAATAGACATAATTTCTTAATATAGCGTGAAGACAGTTTAATTTCTGATGTTACATGTTGGCACTAGAAAATTGCACATTTGTTCACATTCAGCTTTATCTTGGAAATTATTTTTGTGTGCCCCACGGTTTGCACAAGCCCCATTTTTGAATGGTAAACATGACATTGACTTTTTATCAAAATAATAACGTTGTAAATTACGACATCGGCCATCTTCTTTCGGATCTGACATACAAATTGCTGTTTGGAAGAAAAACAAATGATAAATAAAGTTTTAATTTTACTAGATCGAAAAATACCTTTCTTTTCTTCTGGTATAAGAGTCTCACATTCTGCAGCAGCACCTTGGCATTGTCGTTTTTCATTAAGATAAATTTGACATTTTCCAATAACTGTTGATTGATCATTCAAATACCATCGTACTCGTTCTGTATAACCTTTACCACATGAAACCGTGCACGGTGACCATGAAGACCACTCACTGACTGCGCAGCTAAAAATGAAATATTTCTTTCTTTAGAAATTGAGCACTTTCGTATATCGTTGCTGAGTACCGCATACATTGCCGTTTCTTTGATATCATCTTCACAATAATCATTTGTATTGAAACACATTTCACTTTCACTTAATCTTTCATTACAAACACCTCTGGCCAAGTGTGCATTTTTATACATTCTTGTTCGCTGCCGCAAACCATTACCACATTTGACATTACACTCAGACCACGTACTCCATTCGGACGTCATACATCGCATATCAGTTGGACTTTCATCTGAACAAAAAAAATAGAAGTAAAAATTATTTGAAAAGTTATTAAAAAAAGTATGTCTAGGTAAATTAATAGGTAAAAATTATTTCCACGCGATTGAAACTACGATTAAACAATTACCAATTAATTCAACTTTTGTTTTTGATATTTCCTTATCATTTTCCATTTCGCTAATTCTACTTAAATCGGGATAATCATTAAAAGCTGCATTTTGTTGTTGATTTGGATTATGAGTCAAGCGACCATTTGGACATGATTCTCCTCGAAGCATTTGTCTTTTGATTGTAATCTTTGCTACGGGTAGCATTTGCCGTCCTTTCATGTAATTTAAAAAAAACATAGATTTATATACAGACCAATGATAGTAACAAAATGAAATTGTTACCTGTTTCATCATAAAACGGTGATCGTGTATCACTTATCCGTGATACAATAATGGGTTGAATGGGTTCACGAGGATTATTAGGTTTTTTAGGACCCTTTATTACAGTGACCATGTAAAAGAATCAAACTGCTGAATTAGAAAAAATAAGACTTACATCATATAAGACGCCCATATCTGTACCAGCATCTACAGGATACAAGCTTTCTTCATAAGAATCAAGCCAAGTGCAATTTGGTAAACACAAATCAAGCCCTGATATACCTAAAGTAATAAAATGAATCGTTCATGTTCTCTGAAAAGTACGCACATAACACAGATCAATGATTTCAAATAACCATAAAAAGCCCTCAATTACAATTTGTCTTCTTACCGGCTATCCAGTCTGGACTAGGTCCAAGCATTGTGACAAATGAAAAGAAATTATGATTTCTTGATGTTGTAAAGTAGCCGGTTGTCGATTTGGCAACGTTTACTGTCCATAGCCCAGGAATAACAACTATATTACGTATTACGCCAAACTTTGTCTAAAAAACAGAAAATGAAACGGATCTAACCTGAGATATCGACTAATGAATAAGACTAAAATTAGCTTGGTAGTCTAAAATCGTACAATAACAATTGACAAAAATACATCAAATATCTTACATGATTACGTAGTTCTTTTTGCATGGTACCAATTGCTCCCCATTCAGCGACGTGCTTCAATCCATCACTTGCAATATTACCATATTCCCATACTAAACACAACGGATTTCTAAATTGATACTGTGTTAGCTGGTATTTGTATAAATTACGTACACGAATAATTTTGATTGTGCGTAGCGCCAATTAAATCTGACCAGTGAAGTAAATTTTCTGGCAATAAAAAGTAAAGATAATAGAATTAATGTTTGATAACGATGTTTTCTTACAATGTAATTAGGATTAGAACTGATGTAATCTGTAAAGAAAACATTCATGAACAGTTTTTGAAAAACTAACCTCTAGGCCAATCTTTTGGATGTGTCTGTCTAGACCATAAACCCTGAAACGTTGCTTCGTATTTTGCGTCATCTAAATTATGATTATATCGAATAATGATAGGCAGTCTCTTTATTTTACAAAATATTTTTACTTACCACATGCACAGCAGCGATTTCGTACACGACGTTGAGGAGTTTTAATCGGGCCTGTTTTTTCAGAACAAAATCAAATGGTATTCAGAATCTTTCGAAAGGTAGTGGCAAATAACCTGATTTTATCGATTCTTCTGCCATGAGACATTTTTTTGTACAAATTTGATTTTCTGTTAACAATTCATTGCATTTTCCTGCCGCAGCAGTTTTGTCTACATATGACCTGTAACGCCATTGAACACCCGGTTTATCACAGGTAACACTTGAACATTCCGACCAGTCGCCCCACATAGTTGTTAAACATGTCGGATCGTTCATAGCTAAAACAAAGGAATATTTGATGGACGGCAGATATTAATTTTCATTAAAATTTTAGACTGTGAGTAGAAAGAAAACGGAGTGAAAAGGCTTAAAAAATTTTCAAGAGATTAATCCTTACTTAATTTCTTTTGAATAAGCTCAATACACATTTCTTCACATTCTTCCGCAGTTGCAAAATTGTTATCATTACCTGAAAAGAGAATAAAGTTAAAATTTACATAGTTCTTTGAAATTTATGAACACTTCACCTCTACAGCCTCCAAAACGGAATTGTGTACATTTTTTTCTTGTACCATCAAAGTAATAACGACTCGAAAATGATGTGCATGGTCCCGGTTCTAATGGCTGTAAACATTTTCCTAAACGAAACAGTCGAATTAAATAAATTTTCTGCAATGTTTAGACGCGTTATTTGAGTATTACCCTTTCTTTCCATTGCGTCCATATTTTTTATCATCAATCGTTTGGAATCCGACAATCGATGCATATTTGCACTATCACAAGGTGTTTCACAAGTACGAGTTTCTTCGAGCTGTTCTCCACAAAAACCCATTGCCAAAAATTTGACTTTATATGAACGAAAACGGACTTGTGTACCAGTACCACATGATGCTGTACACGCTGACCATTCGGACCACGGAATTGTCATACATCGAGTGTCTTTTCCGTCCTCTAGAATAAAATAGATATGGTAACATGATTTTTCGCCATGAATATTTCTGTTTCCTCTCACCTGTTCGTCCACGTAATAATATATCACAAGTATCTTCGCATGTATCACGCGTTAAAAAGTTATTTTCATTCCCGTCACAACCACCAAATTCAAATTCAACACATTTTTTCATATCGATATTTAAATAATATCGTCGTTCATAATTTGTACATGGGCCAGTTTCTAACGACTGCATACAAATTCCTTTTGAAACATCAAATGCGCAATCAATTTTCGCAATATTACCGTAATCAACAACTTACTTTTCTTTTCCATCATATCTGTTAAACGACCTTGATCACAATTTACTTTCATGCCACGACATTCTTCTTTTTCCATCAGCTGTATGCCACAACGAGCAGCATCCACATTCTTCAACATCGTCCGAGAACGTGTACGCATTCCTTCTCCACATGAGACAGAACACGCAGACCATGGTCCCCATTTAGTCGTCATACACCTAAGATCAAGGGTGAATTATGCTTCTTTGACTGTGTTCGTTTGTTGTAAAGAGCAAAACCATAATTCTCTAGCAAAGTCCAAAAGGTTATTTTGGTTATAGTTTATGTATTACTTACATTGGATCATCATTTGTTCTGTCTTTTGTCTCCTGCATATTTAATTTCGTTTTATTCATTGTATTTAGTGACGATGGACATGTGGAATGTGCATTAAAACATGATGCGATTTCATCTACACGTTCATTGCACTGGTGACGATAGGCTCTTGAAGGCGATAGAAAAGACCTCGTCCTTGTCATTATACCGTAACCACAACTAACCCTGCAACAATATCATAGATCAAAAACTGTTACTATTAATAAAATAATCACTCACGAACACGAGGACCATGATGACCATGGCGTTAAACGACATTCAGCTGAGGATGAGTCATCTGGAAGAAAAACACGAAATCTTTTTGATTTTATTCAGTACTGGTATTTGAACCAAAATATTTTCTATATGTTTATACCATAGACGTGTACTTTTTGTCCATTATCATTGTATTTGTACCGGATTCGTTGATTTCTATGATTATTATGTGATAAGTCATAATCAGCTCGATCCAGATGGGTGTTTGTAGGTGCTTCATTTGCATGACAACCCCTTATCAATGTTTTTTTAATTGATAGACGTGCAACTGGCTGCAAAGATTTTTCTACAAAGATACTTTTCGTGTTTCACTAATGAAACATCAACAGAACAGCGGTACTTTACTCATTGGATCAAAAAATGGTGATTTTCCGTCATTTGTTGTAATTGAGTGGATTTTTTCCTGTGGGACCGTTGGCAGTTTCTCTGACTAAGCAAAATGAAATAAAAACATCATTTCACACTAGCTTAGTTTCGTTTCAGAGCTTACATACTGTGTATGTTCTCCCGCTATCAACTCCAGCATCATACAGATACAAATCTTCTGAGTAAAAGTCGATCCATGTACAATTAGACAAACATAGATCGAATGAATTTATTCCTACAAAAAAAGAATAGAAAAATAATTGTTTCTTTGACACATCTGATAACTATGTGCATAGAAAAGCAAAGGTCTACCTGCAAACCAATCAGGACTAGGTGCAAACTTTGATATTACACTTAATTTATGATGTTTTGGGGAAACGGTAAAAGAGGTATTCGAAGAAGATTGCAATTCGTTTGCATTTAAACCTTTTGCAAGAACAATGTTACGTAATACACTACTGAACGACTATAATGACAAAACCAGACACATTAAGCATTCAAGATAGATACAGACAGTTACAAGAAGCTGTGATAGAACGTTATGATTACTCATGTCGTAAAATCTTTGGACATGAGCATATAAATCTTTAATATAATTATGGATTACACAGAGTGCGAAAGTGTATACAAGAAGAGAGAGTATTTAGCAGTGTATGATACACTTAACAAATAAGTGTGTTCAAACCTAAAAACCAATCATGGCCGTCCAGAAAATGGTGCCCGTCATATTTCGTTACGAATGAGAGAAGATGATAGTTAACATTTGTTGTAAATGTAGCTAACATCGGTAGAAACTGATCAAGACGCTTTTTTTCATATATCAATAGCCTTACGCCAATCATATTATGCTACAACAAGATAACCTCATACGATCAATAACAATCCCAAATCAATTCACTATCACATACTTCATTTATTAATTCTTGTTCTAACGTGTCTGTAATCCCATACAATGCCAGTTCATGTAAACCTTTACTCGCATAACCATCCAGTTCAAATAACGTATAATTATTGTTATGAACTGCTCCAATTAACGTTGAAAAATGAGACATATTCCCTGAAAATAAATAAGAATTAAAGATGTATGGATTAAGAGTCCAATTCTTTACCAGGCCAATCTTTCTTATGCATTAAAGATGACCACAAACCATTAAACGTCATATGATATTTTGCTTCACCACACGCACAACATTGCTGCATCATCTTTTTTACATACATCGCTGAAAGTACAATCCATAGTCGACGTCTGTTATCTATTATAAAAATAAACTTACGGTCCTCGCACATTGTGTACGATAAACCACCATCATCTTTAAACCAGATATGATCAGTACGAACGACAGTAGCACTAAACACATTCTAGTAATGTTAGCTGTTTTTTTTATTTTTCATCGTTGCGTACCGAAAAGTGACACATCCACGCATCATTTTGGGAGCTACCCAATTGACTGAAATCGAATTTTTCATTGTACCCGGATGTGCATCGGTCACACCACCAACACATGATTGACTGAAAGATGTGTGACCATCGCTTGATAACAACTACGAGGAGAGAATATACTGCGTACAATAGCGTATAATAGTAAAGAATCTTTTGAAAGAGTTCTGACCTCAAACTTGCCAATAGTTTCAAATGGTTTGTCATCTGACCAATTAGAGGGAACAGCAATTAATAAAAAGTCTTTAAAAGATGATTGATAATATTGATTTTTGAATCCGCTGATAGACACTAAACAAAGAAGCGTATCCTTGCATGATAGAAAAAATAAACTTTTCTGCACCATTAAATAATACTGGTTGTCGTTACAGAAAAGCGATTGTAAAACAAAATTTATTTAGTTCAAACAAGTTGAGTTTAAAATATCAAAATTAAATAATACCTTTATAAGTTCTACCGGAATGGTATGTTTTTGTTCCATCTTCAACAGTAATTCTGTAGCCATTATCACCACGCGTTTGTGGGACTAACAATCTTGATGATCGATGACAAATTTGTGTAGAATATTCAACAATGAGACAGCAGTACATAAACAATATGAAGTTGAACATGTTAAAACCACTAGAAACTACAATACTTCTGTATTTCCTAATTTCATGAGTTTTGTTTATCTGTTACAGATATTTCTCTATTGCTGTCAATAATTTTCTCTCTCTCTCTCTCTTTTCTTGCATTCACCCTACTCTCACTTAACGCTAAATAGGAGACATCAGTAACAACACTTCCCTGATTATATTCCTAAAAGAAAGAAACAGTAAAAAATAAGAAAATATTCCGCCCTAAAAATGCTATTATTATTATTTCTGTGAAAGGAATGAATGTCGGAGTCATTATACAAGAATGTCTTTGTTCTGTAGCTGACAATTTCTATTAAAGAAAATGATATCACGGCAAAAGAAATACTATTTATTTAATAAGTCAATTAAGAGAAAAATTGTTCTGCGGGATATTGACAGGACGGGACGGTCCTCCTATCTCTTACACACATATGCATACACACGCACATATACAAAAGGGAAAAAACATTTTTTTTGTTCTGTTTTGTCCTTGGCAATTGTTCTAATATTGTTTTGGTAAGAGAGCCTAGATCATAAAATGAGAAAGAACATAATCATTAACCCCTCTTACTGTCAAATAATTGACTTTGTTACATAATTCGGCATTGTTATCAATAGATTACAGATTTATCATTGTGTAGAACGATCTTCTATTCAAATGGTTCATATTTCAATTACTATCATTAGTGCTATACGTAATCAGACCTGCTGTTACAGTTTTCTCTCTAAACCTGCGTATGAATAAATTAGAACGATCTGCGATGAGAAGATAATATTTTATAAAGATCATCCTAAGATTGCGAAGCAGAGGAGTTGAAGTAATATACTAACAATCTCAGCGAATTTTGCTAATTTTTTATCCTCTCCTCTAGCAACGATCTTACGTGGCTGGAACACTGAGCTTACGAGACCATAATAATAATTTTAAAGGCTTTCAGTAAAATGCTCTTACAGAGTTACCGTAATGATCTTCCAAGACTAAGGTGATGATTTGACAGAATTGCGTTAATAGTATTTTTTATTTTTTTTATTTCGTAAATCTAAAAATGAATGGATTTTACATTCGTTGTACAATATTTTCAAATTCTTCTTCTATATTGAAGGCATCTGTGCGTTTGTAAAAAGTTTTTGTTGGATATTCCAGTGTTATTGAAATCATTTCACAAGAGGATTTGGTCTACTGGTTCCAAAAAACATTTGATATTAACCGTTTTAATCAAACATCAAAAGGCGAACATGGATTTGTTACCAACCTCAGGCAATCGACTCGTCAAATCGTAACAACAATATTCGATCTGGACTTTGCAGACAACATTGCCTTATTAGAAGGAATTCTCGAAAGAGCGCAATCACAACTGTCCCTAACTGCCGAACTAGCAAGGGAAGTCGGACTGGAAGTAAATGTCAAGAAAACAGAGGCACTCACGAATCAGAAGCACGAAAACGTCAACATCGAGTTAGAAGGACAGANGACAGAAGATCGAATGAGTAACAAACTCTAAATATCTAGGTTCCATGGTCCTGTCAAGTGAGAGCGACGTCAGCCTACGCAAAGCACTGGCTTGGGGCGCCTTCTGGAAAATGAAGGATATATTCCGCTCGAAAACCATACCTATCCATCTTAAAACAAACATATTCCAAGCACCATGTCTCTCAATACTTCTGTACGGCTGCGAGAGCTGGATCATCACCAGTAAGCTCGAACAAAGTCTCAACAGTTACGCCACCAGCTGCTACAGAATCATGCTCAACATCAAACGCTTGGATAAGGTATCAA